TGTTTCAATTGCTAGAGGGTGCATGAACTCACTAGAGACAGAGGGAGGGAGAATGCAACTCCGTAATGGTGGTTGGTCATGCTACAATCTCTTCTCCATTTTTCTATCCTATTGGGATTTTGGACAAACACACACACACACACACACACACACACATTTTTCAAGCAAATGGGGCTGGAACCTGAACCATGGTCAGCCATGTGGGATACAACTCCTTTAACCACTAGGTCATTCTTGAACAAACACATCCTGTCATCCAGGGGGTACTTCATGGCTTCTCCACATCCAGATTCTCACAGTTTCTACAAATAGCTCTCTCCTAAATGGAAAGGAAGCTCTAGGAGAGTAAAGAAAAATTAAACTGCCAAGTGAATAGAACCCACCTACACTAAGAAGACAGAGCAGCATACCTGGAGCATATTATTCATTTATTGCCCTTCTGACTGTTGTCTAATAGAGAGATATTATTCTCCCTGAGGTTGAGACAGATCAGATCATTCTTTAGAGCAGCTCTCTGTTATCCTTGTGGATATTAACTGTAAGCTGATGGCTCACACTATTCCTGTGATCAATGACACTAATCTATACCTCTAAGGTCTTCTGTTTCAATTCATTACAGTCATAGAACCTACTGTGAATGTTGGCTGTGTATAGTTTTCTTTTTCATTTCTGTTAATTTTTGTGTTTTATTCTATATTACCTTATTTCAACTGCTTATATACTCTTATATATATAGATAGCTTTGCTACTATACTGGTTCTAGAGTATCGTTTTTTTTGTTTTTTGTTTTTTTTTGTTTTTTTTTGTTTTTTTCCCCTAGATTGGCCCATAGCACAATGATAAGTGTTGTGAATTGGGAACCATATCCCTCATGGCCAACCACAGCCACCGCTTGAGTCCCAGCCCCAGCTGCTTGAAAAACATTTCCAGCATGCATGCATACATTTCCAAGATCCTGACAGGATGGGGAGGTGGAAGAGAAGGGACTGTGGCATGACGTCTATTAGGAGGTGCTTTATCTCCATGTCTATCTCTGGTGAGTGCAATTAAAAATCACACACACACACACACACACACACACACACACATAAAGAAAAAAGAATATCTTTTTTCCCTATAAATCAACTTTATAAATATTTTATTTCAACTTCCTTATTTGCTCTTTCATAAGGAAAATCAGTTCACACTTCATTAGCATTTAGAAACTAAAAATTTCACAATATTTAGGTATGAAACACATTTTTTTTTAAATTCCCAAATGAGAGAGAGAGAGAGTAGATACTGAAAGACACCAAGGAACAAATACTGACTTACTAAAAAGTGGCTTCCTCTGTATTGTATGTTAAACCACTGCTATTCTCACTTGACCCTAGAGTCTCTTCTTGGCATGTTGATCTTTATTTGGAATATTCTCATGGTGCAAATTACCTCTTCACAGCGTATTCTCAATGCATGAAGTTTATGTTGGGTAAGGATTAACTAAAATAATTACAAAAAGGATTGAAAGCATGAACGATGGTATGATAGAAGATGGAGGCAGAGGGACGTGGCTGAAATAGAAATTGAACATAGAGTAAGCCGACCATTTCATGCAGGAGGTGATGATCTCTGAAAAAGGGGCCCAGGGGAAAGTTTATGATTGGAATATGTAATTAAATATGGAAGAGAAATAAACTGAAACCGTGCAGTTATATTTTGAGTAATTCACAAATAGAAGAGAAGACAACTTGCACTTACGAGGTGTCAGAAATGTGTCTGGGGGCGAGGCAGTGATACAGCAGTATCACGATGGGATCCACATGGGAGTGGTCCTAAGTTCATGTCCTGATTTCTCTGTGTACATGCCAGGTGTGAACACACGTGATCTGACCCCACTGAGACCAGGGTAGATCGTGATATACCTGTCTCTCAGTCTGTCTGTCTGTCTCTCTCTCTCATAGAAGAAATAAATGTATAAACTTTAAAAATGCATCTGACCAGGGTCTAAGCACTTTGTGTGTATTTTCCTTGGAAATCAGGAAAGAATGCTCAAATTTCAAACCCAACTCTTTACTAAGCTTACTTCCCATGGGAATACAGGATTATCGCCATGGGTATAGAAGGGTAGGTGGCAATGTTGTCAGTCTCAGACCTACTAATTCTTCCTGGTACCGTTTCCTAGGGAGCTCAGCACCTTAAAGCTTTCTGCAGGCCCAGTCTCTGGATCGCTCCATCCATACCACTCAAATACTGATTGAATTCTCCTCTCACCTAACAGGCATCTTTGAAGGGACCTAAAAAAGTCATTGTTTAAATGATTGACAATGGCATATCATGTATGTTTCCATGTTTGTTGCATTTGAACAGAGAGAGTCCACTTAGCCACTGCAAGAAACTCTGTGTAAATATGACTTTAAATTTGCACAAAAAGAAGAGATACATGGAGAGTTGTTTAGGGTCAGTTTCTTACAGTAATTCGGAAATGACAATAAGAAGGTTGCCAGTAATTTAGGATTAGCTACAAAACATCATATTGTGGTAAAGATCACAATTCTCAGAGTGAGACTGTACTGCCTCCCTGCTTGCTCTCTGTGCCTTTAGGTGAGTTTCTTACTTTTTCTGACACTCAATTTTGCTATCTGTAAAAGAAAGATAGTGCTATACCTATGGCAGTGAGGATTAAGTGATTTGATGTTCCATTTTAACATGACATATGCTTTCCTAAAAAGTTCTCCCTCTGCAAAATTACAAACTGGAAGATATCAGGGACTATCAAACTGTCTGCTTACTGTGTAGCAGCCATGCCAAGGGCCTTTTTCCTTTCTGCTCCAGGCTTTAATTCTCCTGTCACTCTGATTATCCCTTTCCTAAGGAAATTTGTATGAACCAACACAACTGCTCTTAACACTGATATCATTCTCTATCAAATATATATGAGCTAACTGATGGTATCAAAACAAGTGTTGCAAAACTTGTAGATTGCATGCAAAATAGGCATACACACACACACACACACACACACACAAGATTATATATCATTTTTCCCTTTGCTACTTCTTTGATTAATAATTTGAAAGCCATTGGGACTTAATTGCAGGAAGAAAATCTTTTCCTTTCTAGTTTCGAGACATGCTAGCAGAAACACAAGTTAGGCTGAGGAAGAAAAAGGAATACATGTGCAGGGCTTTAGTTCTCTTCACATTTTAAGCTCTTCAAGGACGTGTAATATTCAAATATTTCATGACCTGAATAGCATTGTGACCAGTCTATCAGAAACATGGCCTAGGGCTAGCAGTACTTGGGAAGGTTTTGCTGGTCAGTTGTAATCTCTAGTTTCTTCAGCTTGCAGGGAGGTTGCCGGGCATTCAGAGGGAAAGCTCTGGTAATAGCTAGGGAGGGAAGTGGCATTGACAGGATGCAGGGCTGTGAGTGCTTACCAATAAGTATTTTGACATTTTAAAAAACTGTGATTGTTGGCAATTTCTATTAGCTATTAGCCTGTCTTCTTGCTATCAAATTCTATGTATGTTCATAACATACAGAGACCAAATCTCTAGGTCAAAACGTTCCACAAAGTTATTCAGATGTATCATCCAAAACACTGCTTTACCTTCCAGGAGCATCCCCTTTCTCATCAAACCACACCTCCTCTCCAGACACGCCGATGAACGAGGACTTAATGAGAAAGTCCAGGAGTTTTCTGCCATCGATGGGCTTCATAGCATCGCAGAGACCTACGTGGCCGGGGCAGAGGGCATGGTGCATGTTCTGCAGTCCGTGAGCCATGGCATAAATGGCGTTGATGACAAACCCCATCTTACTGTCCTGGACATAATTTTCTTCTAAGCTTTCATTGCCTGTAACAATGAAAAAAGGTTACTGCCAAGGTCATGATAATAAAGACTAGGCTTGCATGTTTAATTCTCACCTGATTTTCAAGGCTCTCAGAGGCCGGGGAAGAGCACTGGCTGTGGTAAAGCCAAGCCCCTCAGGCAGGCTTTGTACTATGACTAGCTCTAGTGTAGTCTGTCTGCAAATAAGTTTGTTCAGTTTCATTTTCAGTGTTCAATAGTGGTCTTATAAGGTCTAAAACAAACCCCATAGCGGAGAAAATAAAGAACTTTCAAATATTGCAAGGAAATCCTCAAGGAGCAAAGGAAATAACTCTTATTCCCTCTTGATTCATAGAAACTTATATGAAAGTCTCTCTCTTTCACAATATTGGAAAGACATTTTTATATCCTCTATAACAATTCACAATTCATGGTAATTCAGTTTGTGCATTATCCAACCTCTAGCATTTTTTTCTGGTGATTCTGCTATTTTTATCATCTCTAGGGCAACAAAAATTTAGAAGAAGAACTAGAGAGTATAAATCTATTCTTCTGTATGGGTGGCATGGTGGGAATACTTAACTCAGATTTTCTCATGAGAAAATTGGGGAAAATGTTATCCTGCTGGAAGAGTCTTCATACACATTAATTTTAACCTTTAGCTTTTACCAGTGAATTTCAGAACTCCATGATCACCTATGTCACAGGTGATCAAAAATTTTCACCTATGTCACAGGTGGTCAAAAATTTCCCAACTGCCAAGAAGTTTTATGAGAACAGTATTCCATTACATATAAGCCTCATATTTGAAGCCTAGCCTTTAGGACTTCACTATGGATGAGAATTTTGGTTACAGATTTGGTTTGCTGAAATAAAGGTAACAGGTTTGGAAATCAAAATAGACTAACGACACACCACTGGCATACTTCCGAGACTTTGTGCTCCGTTTTGAACATTTGCTTCTCTCTGCAACGGGCTTTCCTCCCCACACTTGACTGATAGTCTACGGTGGGTCTCTGTGATGTGTGCCCACGTATCTGGGAGCTGGGAAAGTTAGGAAGTTCGGCTGCTGTTGGGGTGAAAAACATGAGGCTCCTTGTACTTCTTGTCGGCTACCCTCTTTCTTCCAGCTTAAATAGTTCGCTGGACACTAAGCGGCTTGAAATAAAGACTAGCGGATAATACTTAGTAACTAGAAAGCTTCGAGTCTTTAGAAAAAGTAATAAAGAGTTTTGGCTTCACTGTTGAGCTTGGGATAAAAATGGCAATTTCTATAGAGTGCTATTTAAGGCTGATCTATTTGGATATAGGTGAAAATGTGAAAAAAAAAATGCATGTGTATCTAACTGAAGAGATACCAATACCCAGGTCAGGTTGAAGGGGGAAAAGATTTAGTTTGGGAGCTGGCAGGTGGCATGGTGGTTGGGTGTGCTGGTCTACCTCATGGTCAACCACAGTTCGAGTCCCAGTCCTGGAGGCATGCTTTCTCGCATTCTCCTTCTCTCTCTCTCACTCTGTCCCTCTCTGTTCAAATTAATACAAATAAATAAAATGAAATTAAATATTTTTTTTAAAAAGGTGATTCATTTCAAACCCATCTCCCAGCTTTGCTTGATAGGATAGTTTTCCAAGTGTAATTTGCTGAAGTAATCTTTTTCCAACTGAAAAAAAAAAAATTGTTCATGAGAAAATAGGGAGAAACAGAAAGGGAATTTAAAGATTAAACTGCACAGAATAAGTATATAAGACATAAATCAAGGATCCTCCTTGCAAACTGCAGTCTTTTCAAGAAATATTTGCAACTTAATAGTTTGTGCCTCTCTACAAAATTAAAATAAACAGCTTGTGGGTTTGTCAATCTGAAGTAAGCACACACACTTTCTTGCCCACCAGTCCACTCCTTTGTATGTGAAGGGGGATGCTACCATCATAAGAACTGTCTTCAGCTACCTCCCCAGTCTCAGCCCTGTCTCTACAGTCTATGCACTAGCATTTGGAAATATGTCACATAAAGTCGGAAAGTCATGTGGCTTTTACAGGAACATTTTCTTCACCACAGCAAGTGTCCTAGATAATGTTACAAGCATCTATCATCTAACAAACAAAATATATCACAGGCTTCCCCATTCTCTAAAGATCCTATATTTTTTTTCGACCAGTAAATATAGAAATGTAAGCTAAGAACAATGTCACCTGGCGGGAGGGTGAGAACACTTTGAATCCCTAGGGTTTAGTGCCTTTTCATAGCACAAGTCTCATATTTATTAGTGAAAGGGGGATTTTGTGAATCATTTTCTGTGGTGCATTAACTATTGTGGACCACAAGGGTATCATTAAACCATTACCCTTTCTAATATACTAAATGGAATCAAATAATTGTAGTTGACTGTGTTTATTTACCTTTAAAAGAATACCTGTCTAACTACTTCACAGGATTGTGAAAATAGCTACCTTGATTCTAAATAGTAACCTTGTTCTTTCTGAGAAAGTGCAACAAGGGCCATAAATTGCTACTTTAGCATAGCTGCACACAGAGCCTCTGTGGGGGTAGGCACAGACCATGTACCTTCTACAAACAGGAAATTCAAGTTGGCTGGGAGAAGGATCAGCACTTCTACTGTCAATTAGGATGGTTATTCAGTAGAGTGTTTTAGAAGAAAGAACTCTGGTCTAGGCACATGAACAGTGGGGATCTAGACAAAGTTCTGCTACAATATATTAATAATATATTTCAACAACCATGGAGTTTGAACATGGCCCTCCTTGGGCCTCAGTTTCCTAATCTATAAATACACAAATGAATCAACTATCTTCTTGAAGATTTCATTCACCTCTAAAGTCCAATGCTTTGCTCTTCTAATTGTGCATTTGTTGGTACATGGGAAAGCCACTCACACATTTTATCATTTTCAATATTCACAAAAGTATATGAGATAGGTTTTCACATCTCTGTTTTTGCAAACAAGACTAAAGCACAAAGAAGTGAAGTCATGGGTTATAGATGAACACCCACCTTTCCCTTCACCTCATGTTTTCCTGCAAAGAAACTCCCACTTACATTTCAAGGAGGCCTTTCATCCCACCTAATGGGAAAAAGAGCAATTCTCCCCTCTTAGTAGACTGAGAAAAAGAAACTGAGCATGCTGACATCAGCCATGTCTGCATCATTTGGAGCCTGAGACTTGATTCAAAGATTCTGGTTGGTTCTTCAGGCTGTGGTAAATGTGGGCTGTAGTTGACCAGTTCTATTAGGGATTAAACAGGTTAATCTATGTAGTTTTGGGGTCAAGTATTCAAAAGTCTGTTTCAGAGGCATATCTAATTCATGTACCCAATCTGGTATGGTTTTGTGACAGCATTTTCAATTTTTTTTAGAAACTTTTTCATTAAGGTATAACTCACATAAAGTACAGAAATCTTTGCTATACAGATAAATATATAT